GAATTTTATTTATAAGAACAAGACAAAATATGAAATAATTGTTTGGAATTGAAGCCATCTTTTGGCTATAAATGTGATGAGGTCTGGAGTACCTGATGACTATGATTTGTTATGAAGACTAACCTGTGTCCTGACAATTCACTTGGTTTCCATTAGCATGAAGGAGATTATATGTGGATATAGTTTAAGGCATGGAATGACCTCTTTTGTTTGCTTATATTGTGATGCTACAACATAAATTATGAAGAAAGAAGCCTAGAATGCTTGTTTACTGTGTTGTATGTCGTTGCATGTTGTGAAGCTGTAGTATATGTGGTAGAGGACGCCCAGTCCTGGACTGGTTCATGTCTACTCCTGTCATTTCTCATATATCATAGTAGTAGATGTCTCATCTCTTGTTATAGTGGGAGTCAGCATGCCACTTTTCTGCTGTAGTAAACAGTGGCATACCACGTTTCTGCTGTAGTAGACAGTGGCATAACACGTTTCTGCTGTAGTAAATGGTGGCATACCACGTTTCTGTTGTAGTAGACAGTGGCATACCACGTTTCTGCTGTAGTAGACAGTGGCATACCACGTTTCTGCTGTTGTAGACAGTGGCATACCATGTTTCTGCTGTAGTAGACAGTGGCATACCACGTTTCTGCTGTTGTAGACAGTGGCATACCACATTTCTGCTGTAGTAGACAGTGGCATACCAGGTTTCTGCTGTAGTAGACAGTGGCATACCATGTTTCTGCTGTAGAAGATAGTGGCATGTCTCATTTCACTGCTGTAGTAGATGGTGGAATGCCACTTTCAGCTGTAGTAGATGGTGGCATGTCTCCTTTCACTGTTGTAATAGACAGTGGAATGCCACATTTCTGCTGTAGTAGATGGTAGCATGTCTCATTTCTCTGTTGTAGTAGACAGTGGCACGTTAAGTTTCTACAGTAGTAGATGGTGGCATGCCATGTTTCTGATGTGCACACTGTGTCATGCCACATTTCTGCTGTAGTAAATGTGGCTTATCTCATCTCATTGTTGTAATAGACAGTGGCATGTTTCAATTCTTATCATATCTCCCCTTCCTGTTGGATTATACAGTGGCATACTTGTGTTTCTGTGGTAGTAGATGGTGCCATGCCACATTTGTTGCATTAGACTGGTGCATTTATCATCTCTCTGTTGCAATGAAAAAGTGGCATGCCTTATCTCTGTTGTTTTAGACAGTGGCATGCCTTATCTCTGTTGTTTTAGACAGTGGCATGCCTCATCTCCCTGGTGTAGTAGACAGTGGCATGCCTTGTCTCTTTTTCAGTAGACCGTGGCATTATTTCTACTCTTCTGTTGTAGACATTGCTATACCTCCTCTAAATTGTAATAAACAGTGGCATATCTTGTCTCTGTTGTAATAGACAGTGGCATATCTTGTCTCTGTTGTGATAGACAGTGGCATACCTTGTCTATTGTAATAGATAGTGGCAACCTTGCCTGTTGTAGTAGATAGTGGCAACCTTGCCTGTTGTAATAGACAGTGACATATCTTGTTTCTCTGTTGTAGTAAACAGTAGCATACTCCATCTCCATTGTAATAGAGAGTGGAATGCCTTGTCTCTGTTGTAATAGACAGTGGCATACCTTATCTCTGTTGTAATAGACAGTGGCATTTCACTTTTTAGATAGTTCCAATGCAGGGTTGAGCTTGCTCTGTGTTGTAAGTCCTGAAACCTTTTGTTTTTAGTATGGTGACATAGCTTTAACATGCTGCTCTGTAACTAACAACTGATCATAACTCTATCATTGCATTTACTGTTGTGTAAATGTCAGATGCTTTACTTTTTCTTATACCAATACATAATGCTAAAGTTATAGGTGAAAGCCACCTGATTAGTAGCAACATCTTTATTTATAATCAATATGTTGTATTATTGCTTAATATTAGATTACATTTGTATCTGTTTACAAATATTTATTTACATATATACACATTTTTTTATTTTTAAAATTTGAATATTATTCAAAGTTATTTTGTTGTTTTTCATATTGCAAATGATTTTAAAGTGGTTTTATACCATATAATAGCCTATGTTTTATTTAATTTAATTTTTTTGACCGTACATTTCATTGATATCATCGCATTACATGTCATATTTCCTATCCTTTCTGCTTTGAGTTTTTGTTTTCATTTAACATTTAACTTACAAGGAAGTACATAGGTTAAGAACCATCTCTTATAGTTAATTACCAAGGTTAAGAACCATCTCTTATAGTTAATTACCAAGGTTAAGAACCATCTCTTATAGTTAATTACCAAGGTTAAGAACCATCTCTTATAGTTAATTACCAAGGTTAAGAACCATCTCTTATAGTTAATTACCAAGGTTAAGAACCATCTCTTATAGTTAATTACCAAGGTTAAGAACCATCTCTTATAGTTAATTACCAAGGTTAAGAACAATTACTGAAAGAAAGGAATTATCAAGTCAAGAAATATTATTTTTACAATATTGATAAAGTTAAGAACCATTATTTATAGAAATGACCAAGGTTAATACTAACAACAATAGGAATAGCCAAGTTAAGGACCACCATATCTAAGAATTACTGGACTGCACTAGAGATAGGAACCATGTTAAGGACCACCATATCTAAAAATTACTGGACTGCACTAGAGATAGGAACCAAGTTAAGGACCACCATATCTAAGAATTACTGGACTGCACTAGAGATAGGAACCAAGTTAAGGACCACCATATCTAAGAATTACTGGAAGCACTAGTGTTAGAAACCAATTTAAGGACCACCATATTCCAGAATTATTTGACTGCACTAGAGATAGGAACCAAGTTAAGGACCACCATATCTAAGAATTACTGGAAGCACTAGTGTTAGAAACCAATTTAAGGACCACCATATTCCAGAATTATTTGACTGCACTAGAGATAGGAACCAATTTAAGGACCACCATATCTAAGAATTACTAGACTGCACTAGAGATAGGAACCAAGTTAAGGACCACCATATCTAAGAATTACTAGACTGCACTAGAGATAGGAACCATCCTTACTAATTCCTTATTTATTCCTTTTTTTTTCCAAAAAAAAAAAAATTTCACATGATAGTAGGGATTCAAACTAGAATATATATAACAATGTCAGGGAGGGTAGGACTGATTACAATAAATATATCAAAGTGATAAATAGTAGTTATTAGAGTAGATCTGAGGTATGACTTAAAACACCTAGACATCTGTGTTGGCTTCTACTATGTGCATGTTCTTAGTTTGAACCTTCCCTGGGAGAGGACTCGATTTATACTTTTCATATCTAATATTTTACAGATTTTCGTTTCTTTGCCTTCTTTCCCAAACCCTTCTTTATGTAGACTTCCTGTTAGACATGAGGTCACTTCCTGTCAAATTTGAACCCTGAAGCTGATGTTTCTGTACATCAATTTTGAACCAGTCATTTGAAAACTTTAAAACTTATCCTCATGATTTTGTATGTCTGTAAAATTTTGAAATTATTGTATAAAAAAAGTGACCATTGTACAGAAACATCAGCATCTTTGGCATGGTTCATTGCCTTTCATATCATCTTCATCATCACGAACCAAGGATTCTGCACTGCAGAGGTTGTGAGTGGTCGTTGTTAATAGTTGCAATTGTTTCCACGGTTACAGTGTTATTTGATAAATCTCCAGAATGGAACAGCGGGATTAAGGGGCGTCTAATTTTACAAGATGATGATGTGTCAACGAAGATAGAAGGAGAATATAAACGCCTCAATTCGTGTTGTCATTACAAGGTATGTACTCACCAGTCAGGAAATCGTTGTTCTTCCTGATTTCAGATGTTTGGAGCATTTGAGAGTGATTGACAGGTCAAGGTCAGATTACGTACCACTGTGGGAATATAGGATCACTCTTTATTCATTAGACATTTTATTGCTTTTTAAATTGATGAATTTTTAATTGACATTTGAAAAACCCAAACTAAGATGAAGTGCAGTACTATTTGCCCCAAAGGTCAAAGAGCAGGATTACTGATGCTTAGTAGTCCAGTTCTCAACCTCCAACTTCAGATAGCCCGCGTTCTTAATTAAAGTGCTTATAATAGAATAGCAGGCCTGAGGATCAAGGGTCAAGGTCATAACTGTTGTTGATATGGCTTATGATAAATGATTATGGAAAAGAAAATTACCTTATGTTTGAAGTTGTAGTGGTCAAAGCACTGAAGCCTGGAATAAAAATCTTTAATAAAAATGAAGATTGGAGGGGAAAAGCACCAAATGTTTGCAGAAAGAATTTGATAAAAACCTTCCAATGACATCTAAATTAAGGATACACAATTGTATATAGTAGTATATATAGTGAAAGATACCAGATTTGTTCAGATTACTTAGGAGTCTTCATGAAATATCATTTTTGGAACTGAAAAGGTTTATCGAAATGTCTATCAAATTATGGTTTGATCTTATTATTGACCTTGACCCATATTGAAATACAGGGGGAATAGATTTGGTTTGATCCAAAGGGTCATGTAAAGCATTTAATGAGGATCAGAATCATGAAACATAGTTTGCTGTATGTCTAGCTTTGAAGACAATTTGTCCCAACATGTTATATTGTACGTGTTCAAAGTCACTAAGATTAAATACTTTAAAATTAAAAAAAAAAACAACCTACTTCTTATGAGAACCATAAGGTGTAGAGACAATTAGTTAAAAGTTTCTAGAGCATCATTTAATTGAAAAAAATGAAAACATCTATTTAATTGTATCAGTCATGGAACATTTAGAAGTATAAAGTGTGCAACATTGAATGTATTTTATATGATATTCAATGACCTTGCAACATAGTAGAACATAGTAGAAGTGGTCTGGGATAAAGATTTAACCATGTCATTCCATTTTCAAAACAGGATTTTCATGTATGTTCCTTCAGTAAATATCATGCAAATATGTGAATGTTGTTCATGCAAAATGTTAATTTTCATTGTGCAGTGTGTGTGGAGTATTTTATATGTATATCAATAAAGATTGGCATGGTTTAAACATTGAAGTGTCAAATAATGAGTTGTCTCCCTTTGACAGGTACCTGATGGTGCATTCATGACATTGGTGCCAAAACAGCCTCAGTCCTACTATAACCTCTCCATGAACTCAAACGATAAATCTGGGTCCAAGCTGTACAGTGGTAAGTATCTCTGGGAGTCAAAACCAATTCAAACTTGAGACTTCTAGTTCCTGTGAGAACATCACTGGATATCATAATCCATCTTTAGCAACAAAATATTATGCATTAGTTTATGTAGTGTTGTAGATTTCCCACTCAGAGGCGTAAAAGATTTTTGAATTTGTGTAACTGCTGAGATTGAACAATTTCTGATCAGTTTTTCTGTTTTGCCAGATTTCATTTACTCCAGGAGTCCATCCCTAAACCGAACTCCACAAGGTTTCCACGCAGACACAGACGGGAGTGGATACAAGTATTACCACCTCGTCAAACAACACGATGCCGAGACCCTAAAAGAGGGAGATCGCGGCAGTAAGATGGTGTCTGAAATCTATCTCACCAGACTTCTTGCCACCAAGGTAAGTTGTTTAGATTTTGACCATGGCTAAAGTGACTGTCTGTCCAGATGTCAGTTGGTTGCTCTTTTGTTACTCTTTTTACATTGATAGCTGTCTGATTTTGATGCCCCACTTATCTTATTGGTTTGGGGAGGAAACATAATACTACCCCTGTTCTTTATCTTTCAGAATATCTTTACAGATCTGGTTCAAATTTTCATAATTAATTTGTTGACTATTTACAGGGTACCCTTCAACAGTTTGTTGACGACTTGTTTGAGAGGATATTCAGCACTAACCACAGGTGTACAGCCCTTCCCCTTGCCATTAAGTACATGTTTGACTTCCTAGACGACCAAGCCCTACAACATGGTATACAGGACATCGAGGTTGTACACACATGGAAATCCAATAGGTAAGTGATGATCATATTTTATAATTGAAAACCTGTGAACATGACATGATGTTTAAAGTAATATGTCTGATAGCCCATAGAATATATCATAACAAATGATAGTAACTGGAATGACACCTGATGATAGTTTCATGTAGCATTTGGCTCAAATGAACTCATGTTACACCAGTTGATGGAAATTGACTCATGTTACACCAATGGGTGGAAATTGACTCGTGTTGCACCAATTGGTGAAAATTGACTTGTGTTACACCACTTGATGGAGAGTGACTCGTGTTACACCACTTTGTTAAAATTGACTCATATGACATGTTTTGGTTGATATTGACTTCTATAAAGCCTTTGAAGGAGCTGAAGATTTGTATGTTTTTCCATTTCAGTCTTCCACTAAGGTTCTGGGTTAATGTGATAAAGAACCCCAACTTTGTGTTTGACATCTACAAGTCACCCATTGTGGATTCGTGTCTGTCTGTGGTGGCCCAGACATTTATGGATAGCTGCTCCATGTCAGAGCACCGTCTGGGTAAGGACTCCCCGTCCAGCAAGCTCCTCTATGCCAAGGACATCCCAAAGTATAAGAAGTGGGTAGAACGATACTACCAGGACATCAAGATGATGCCCGCCATCAGTGACCAGGATATGACCGCCATGATGACCGATGAATCCAGGGTTAGTGTCTGTGTATATATCTAGTCAAGGTCATGTTAAGGTCATTCACAAGAGAAGACTGTAAAATAAGTAATGAACATAAGAACCATGTCACAGCCAGGTCCAGGACCATGACGGTGATATAAACAGTTGGATTAGGATTGGTGGAGACATCATACAAATCCTGTTATAGTTTTATCAATAGAAATTTAATACACCTCAGTCATTATTGAAGCATGGATCATGTTATTTTGGTCCTGCCTTGAGGTGTACAGGTCATAAACATATTTGTACGAAGGTCATTTGGATATAAGAGTATGATAATGTAATTTGCTGCATCAATGTTTAAAATGGGAAAGGAAATGTAAATATCTGTGAAAATATATATAGTGAGTAAATAAAATGAAAATTAATTCCTCGTGAAGAAATAAATATGATAAAATAACAAAAATGCAAGACTATCAAGAATGCCTCTCTTGGCTTCTCAGACTTCTTCAGACCTGAAATAGATTTCGTCTTAGCATGTATTTATTCGTATTTAATACTTTTAATTCTAGTGTCATCAGGATGAGTTTAATACCAGCGCAGCCCTTCTGGAACTATATAAATATGTACAGAAATACAATGAAGAGGTAAGGTTGACGCCAACAGTATTTCACAAAACTCTGCATCATTCCATTGCGATGAATAGGAATTACATATGTGTTTTGAGACTTAATTCAGCATTTTGTCACATGTTTATGTGGGTTTTTTTTTCTTTTCTTTTTGGTGACATCATTGATCACTGATTTAGCTTTTCTCAAGTTTTAGTTTGAAAAGAGAAGTAATTGAAAAATCAATATTTTGATGAAAATTCAGTATACTTTAAATGTTTTTTAATATGAATACCTTAAAATAACAAAATGTGCAAAAAATCTGTCATGTGTTTCAAATCTTCCATTTCATTCCTGTAAATTAAAAAATTGATAATGAAATCTGAAGTGTGTTTCAAATCATCAATTTAAAAAATTAAAAATAAAATGTGGAACTGTAACAAACACAAGTGTTGCTGACTAACTGATAAGTATATTTGCTGTTGCATGATGTGTTACAGGACCAACACATTATTTAATTTGATTAATTAATATATGTATAGAATATGTTGTATGTGATGCCATCCTGTCAACTGTATACATGTGATTCTGTTTACAGTTGTGGCAGGCTCTTGAAGAAGATGAATTTGCCAAAAAGAACCGCCTGACTTACAAACTTGAGCAGGTTCGAATGACAATGGAGGCAGAAGTTTACTGCTGATACACATATCACACTCACAAAGGAGCTTTAATTTCATCATTTGTTACTATGCATACTTGGCTTTAATGCAAACATTGGTTGGATGGAGATCTGACTCTTGTGTTTCGTTTGTTTTGAAGTGCTTCTACTGCTGATGGTATATACCTCGTCAGGTCAATTTTTCAATTTCTTCTGTCATTGCACGGTAAGTGCTGTGACATAGTATATGTTTTGTACTCCTCATCATTACTTGAGTAAAAGTGAGTGCCATGTAACCAGAAGGCCTGTTCCAAATGTAAAAGTCAGTGTCATCTGCCTAGGAAAGAGTGAGGATCACGCACACACAATAAAGTTCTCAATTCACCATCGTCTTCCACCTGTACTCGACGAATCTCTGTGCACTGTCCATATGTAGGCCTCAGGTGTCTGGCCAGCTGATTTCCAATCCACTGTAGATTAGCCAATAAAGTGATGCTGTTGTAATATAACTACATCCTGTAGATAGGACTTGCATGCAGAAGGATAAGCAGTTCATAAGTGTTTATATGCTGAAAAAATGAGACTTTCCATCAAACAACAGAGACTGGTTCGTGTTCGACTGGTTCACATAACATTTATAGAACGGACAAGTTCATAGATCAGTGTATCTTGTTCACCTTACTGTGAGACTCCTGAAAAGTGAGTCCAGTTGATTGAACAGCAAGACTATTTCATAGATCAGCACATCTTGTTCAACTAATGGTGAGACTAGTTTGCAGAAGAGTGACTCCAGGTCAAAGACTCAACCCAACAGCACATCCATGTGTTCATTAACATACCTATAGCTCTGGTGCAACTGACCAGAACTGTCTTTGTATGTAATTTTTTATGTGTTAAATGTACAAGCTATTTTTAAGTATGAAACTATTTACTTGTAATGACATGATTCAGCTGATTTCATATTTTCATATCGCACTCCGCTGTAGATTTGGATTTTAGGTCATCCTTCATTCATGAACAGAATTTGATACTCCACATTGCACATTTTTTTTTTTTTTTCCAACTATTTTCGAAAATGAAAAAAAAATCCAAAATTGGTAATACACACAGTAATTTACTTGGATTTTGGACAAATGATTTGATAATTTTCTGAAAGGGTGAAGACCGTTATAGATTTTTTTATGAAAGGTGAAGAAGAATGATCAACATTTATTTTAGAAAATAGAAACCATTTAGCATATTTTTGCCTTCATCTTTTGTATCAATAAATAGTACACATGCTCATGTACATAACAATATTGCATATATTATTAGGTCTATAAGCTAATTCAATAGATATAGTTTTCTTTGTGCCAAAAGAATCATTATTCATTCAACCGACAGTCAATACCATTCACATACAAAAGTAATCTGTACTTGCCATAGATTAATTTTCTATGCAGATGTATCAATCAGCGTTCATGTTGTCTATTGGTGGTCTTAGATAGCTCAGTCTGGCCTAGATTTTCAATTACAAGATTCATGTAGCCATGTTATCATGTGGCAGTCAAACTGATGAACCCCATACATTACCTCCCATAAATATTGTTTACCAACACACTACAGCTCCTATAAATATTGTTTACCAACACACTACAGCTCCTATAAATATTGTTTACCAACATACTACAGCTCCTATAAATATTGTTTACCAACACACTACAGCTCCTATAAATATTGTTTAGCAACACACTACAGCTCCTATAAATATTGTTTACCAACACACTACAGCTCCAGTTACCCTGGATACCACACAGCAGATAGAGAATTACTGACAAATACATACTCACTGCTCCCTAGATACCTCAAGAGACATAAATAAAATTGATAAATACCCAGTTACAAAACCTTGATACCCCCTTGACATAAAAAGGTTGATAAATGCCCAGTTATTGAACCCTTGATACCCCACCAGACATATAAAGGTTGATATATACATTGTTCATAGTTATTGAACCCTAAAGAACCCACCAGACAGAAAAAAGATTGACCAAAACCCAGCTATTGCATCCTAGATAACCCATCACACTACAACAGTGATACCACCCTAGATAACCCATCACACTACAACAGTGATACCATCCTAGATAACCCATCACACTACAACACTGATACCACCCTAGATAACCCATCACACTGCAACAGTGATACCGCCCTAGATAACCCATCACACTACAACAGTGATACCACCCTAGATAACCCATCACATTACAACAGTGATACCACCCTAGATAACCCATCACACTACACTAGTGATACCACCCTAGATAACCCATTACACTACAACAGTGATACCACCCTAGATAACCCATCACATTACAACAGTGATACCACCCTAGATAACCCATCACACTACACTAGTGATACCACCCTAGATAACCCATCACACTACAACAGTGATACCACCCTAGATAACCCATCACACTACAACAGTGATACCACCCTAGAAAACCCATCACAATACAACAGTGATACCACCCTAGATAACCCATCACACTGCAACAGTGATACCATCCTAGATAACCTATCACACTGCAACAATGATACCACCCTAGATAACCCATCACACTACAACAGTGATACCACCCTAGATAACCCATCACACTACAACAGTGATACCACCCTAGATAACCCATCACGCTACAACAATGATACCACCTTAGACAACCGATACTCTAGAAAACCCACCAGATTTCATTGTTGCAAATGCCCTGTAGCTCTGTCCTAGATGACCCAACAGACTTTGAAATGTTACTTAGAAAACCCATCAGGTTTCAAAAGTGTTGACTCCAGTAATTAAAGGCCCTTGATTACCCACCACATCTTAGAGATAGTCACCACTTGTTTTATATTTCTTTGAGAGTTAATTTAACTTAAAGTATGTGATTCTGACTTGAAATGAAATGTTATTTGTGGTATTAATCATTACAAAAATCCAACTAACATATACATATAATATATATGGTTTTGTTTTTACAACAAATATAATTACGCTCATATATTTACCTTTAAGATTTTAAATGTAACAATGTGCAAGGTTGTGCTAGTCAAGTTTCTCCTATTTTATGTAGTTGTATCATATCTTGTAATTTGTGATGTTTCCTAGCCCACTTTTATATATGTCACAGTGGAACCTTGTAAGTCTGAAGATTTTCTGTTTACAAATCATCAATTAGCAGTTGTCAATATCTCTTTAAAAATAAATCATATTATGAGTTACAAGGTTTTACTTAATGGTCATTTGTTAGGTGTAATCACTGGTGTAAAATTAGAAACATTTTAAGTTTTATATGCGATTTTAAATTCTTCAGATAAACTTCCATGATAGGGTGAGAGCTTCCATGTTATCTCTGTTACTAATGCTGTGTCACAGTTACCTCCCTTGTGGTTGCTATGTCACAGTTACCTCCCTTGTGGTTATTTTGTCACAGTTACCTCCCTTGTGGTTGCTATGTCACATTTACCTCCCTTGTGGTTGCTATGTCATAGTTACCTTCCAGAATGTTCCTATATGACAGTTTTAAGGAACACACTATGGCATGCAGTTGCTTAAGTGGATAATTTAGATCTGTTCGGGATGGAAACAAATTTTTGCCAAACATTTTAACTTTGAAATATTCATGATGATGTAATTGGAATGAATAGGAATTTGTGTTGCCATTGGTTATTGTACTTATAAACTATCTTAAAAATTAAATTAGTTTTCTATCTATACCTGTTAATGTTAATATGATCAGCAAACATTGAAATGATTAAGATTATTTTTGTTGTCACTGGGTTCAGATGTATACATATGAGGAGATGTAATCAATGTAGCTGTCAATATTGTTATAGTAGAACCTTAGTGTTAGTGGCACTCATCTTTCATTGTCCTGGGTCAGACAGAATGAACCTCCTCAATAGAAATTTACTCTGAAGCTTTCATTTAAGTGATGGATACAAAACTCAATTTCTGTAAATTGAATTTACTATAAATGTAATTTGATCTAAAAGTATTGGACTGGAAAACAATGTATAGAATTGCCCTGATCATTTTGCTTACCGAGTGTTGTTTTTGTATTGACCGAGTAAGTTACATGTTTCAAAAAGTTCCTGTTTTTATATTGTATTGATTGTCATTTTACTATTTCCTGGTTTAATTTTTTTTCGTGTCCTGGGTATTAGACACAGATAAAAATCGTGAAAATTAACAGATTAATCCCATTATAATTTGTTGTCTTATTTGTTTATTTTGAAATTATGTACATTGTTTATCATTAAAAAAAACTGAACAAAATCCATTGATGAAATTTTTGTGATAACAATGTAAATATATTTGTGTTTTATTTTTGAGTTTCTCTGTGTGACATTAGCTATGCAGGATTGTCTACTAGTCCCCAGGTGTTTTACATCAGTGTAGTCTGCAGAAATTCTTACAGTTTATAAACACATGAAATTTATAGTACCCTATAGCCAATGTAAATTGTGTAAATATTAGTGTAAAAACCTATCATTGAATTGTAAAACAAAACCAAAGACGAATGTATGAGATAGAGATTGTTGTTACTGTTTAGCTGATGTACATGTGTATAACATATAGTGGTGTGAAAGTTATCATACTTTGGTTACAATCAATTTCCTTTCACTGTGAAGCTAAAACTGATAACACTTAATAATAGACATTAACTGTACCTTGATTTTAGATTTATGTACCCAGCCATATTCTCCATCATGGTGCTTTTCTTTTGTTTTGTTTTTTATTTTTGTTCTAGTTTGATTTGATTAGATAGTACAGGATTGACTCTGTCCAGACTGGTTTTGCCTAGATTTTAGAACATATAAGCTGCTTTAGATTTCAGAGAGCTTGTAATTAATGGTATGCTAGATATGTTGGGTTCAACAGATTTCTGAAGTCCTTTCTGAAAATGATGTGGCGTTTGGTTGGTTTTGTTTTTTTTTCTGTCCTGATAGAGGTAACTCTCAAGATTAAATCATCTATGTTGGCTATGCAACTATTTCATTTACATGCCATTGATATTTAAATACAAATTTTTCATTTGTATAAATGTATTTATATATACATATATCTATATATATATATGTGGAAGTTCAGTCCTAACCTGGACCACTGAGAGAATAGTGTGAGAGAACGACCACTGTGGTATCACACGCCATGTTTAGTATAAGTGTAAGGGGAGATAAATCTTCTAGTGTGGCACACAATGAACTGAGAGAGTAAGAGATATAGAATGTAATGGTTATGTATGCATGAGATTTTATACAATTTTTGATACAGTGATTTAGATGTGCATCTTCTTAAAGCTAAGAAAAAATATTTAAAAAAAATAGAATAAAACATTACTGCAAGTGAAATCAGTCTTTATTGTTTGTTTTTTGTTTAAATGATGAGCTTTGTCAACTGTGATCAGTATTATGATTTTGTCATTCTCTGAATTCAACAAGTCTATGGCTGATGAGTCTGGCAGGAAGGGTTGCATTTCATTATCTCCATTTTTAGGTCACCTGAGCCAAAGGCTCATGGTGACCTATTGCCATCATGATTTGTCTGTCGTCGCCCGTCATGTGTTGTTAACTTTTCACATTTTCAACTTTTCTCAAGAACCACTGGATGGATTTCAACCAAGCTTGGCACAAAGTATCCCTATAGTAAGATGCATCAAGTTTGCGAAAAAAAGGGTGTGGCTCCAATAGGGGCTACAGGAGGGGGCAAAAATTAGGTAAATCTTTAAAAATCTTCTTCTTATGAACCAAGTATCAGAATTTCCTAGAATTCAAAATTCATGATTCTTAGAGCAAGGTTTACAAAGTTTGTGAATTAGAAAAAAAGTGGGTCATAAACAGGCCCTCCAGGGGGCACGAAAAAGGGGTCAAAATTCAAAGTTGACGGATTTCAACCAAATTTAGTATATAGGGTCCCCTAGTGAAGAACATGTGACTTTGAGTTGAAAAAAGTGTCTGAGGGGTTCTTGGTCCTCATGGGGGGCAAAAAGGGGTGGATTATATTTTTTTTTTTTTTTGAAAATGGGTTCTAATGGCTTTGACCATGTTTTTGGGTTACAACCGCACTAAACACAAAGCATCTGTGTAATAAGACACATTTAGTTTGGGGGAAAAAAAGTAATGGCTGCTACAAGGACCCCAGGTGGGGGTAAAAAAGGAGTAAAATTAGGTAAAGTAAGCTTCTTTAAGTTTACAATAGAAAAAGGTGTGGCCTCAATGGGGGCATATTTAAGGGGCAGAAAAAGATAGAATTTGTTAAATCTTAACAAATCTTGTTGTCCTGAACCAAAAGTGTAACTTCATATAGATGATCTTTAGGGAAAGGACTGCAAAGTTTGTGAGAATAAAAATAACTGGTCCAAAATTAGCCCTTCTGATATTTGTTACATATTAATCTTTAATAAAGACATGTGTGTTTATGACAACCATATAGGCGAGAAAAAATGTGTAGCCAGATCTTTCATCAAACCCAGATTTTATTACTCGCTGAACCTTCTATGTTCTGAGCTACATGTATAATATGGTTCAATACCTGTGGTAACACTACATTTCTCAGCCTTGATACATATATATTCCTGTCTCTGAAGTACCACAAGATTTTTTTACATTGTTTTATGTGAGTTTTTTTAGTTGGATGCCTTATTGTATTAGGCAAGGAAAAGATTGTGGATAGACTTGAAATTGATCTGGTTTTTTGTATATTTTAGCTATACATGTATCTACTAAGCTATATTTCAACTTTTAAATGAAAACATGATTTGCTTTATATAAATGTGCAACCCTGGCCTCTGTTTGGCTAAGACATTTTGGACTTCCTCTCAAGAACCACTGGGTGAATCATGTTACATTTTTGCAACATTTTAAAATCCCCAGATTATTGACATATATTCCTCAGGTGGCCATTAAGGCCCCTTGGGCCTCTTGTTCTTCATTTTCCTTCATTGTTTTGCATATGTTTCTGCTGTTGGTGTACCGGTACCCCTCAGAATGGTGTCCTCTGCTATAAAAATATCCCTTAGGATGGTGTCCTCTGCTATAGATGTACCCCTCAGGATTGTGTCCTCTGCTATAGATGTACCCCTCAGAATGGTGTCCTCTGCTACAAAAATATCCCTCAGGATGGTGTCTCCAGCTATAAAAATACCCCTCAGAATGGTGTCCTCTGCTATAGATGTACCCCTCAGGATGGTGTCCTCTGCTATAGATGTACCCCTCAGGATGGTGTCTCCAGATATAGGTGTACCCCTCAGGATAGTGCCTCCAGATATAGATGTACCCCTCAGGATGGTGTCTCCAGATATAGGTGTACCCCTCAGGATAGTGCCTCCAGATATAGATGTACCCCTCAGGATGGTGTCTCCAGATATAGGTGTACCCCTCAGGATGGTGCCTCCAGCTATAATAATACCCCTCAGGATGGTGTCTCCAGATATAGGTGTACCCCTCAGGATGGTGCCTCCAGCTATAATAATACCCCTCAGGATGGTGTCTCCAGATATAGATGTACCCCTCAGGATGGTGTCCTCTGCTATAGATGTAACCCTCAGGATGGTGCCTCCAGCTATAAAAATACCCTTCTGTCCTCTGTCCGTTATTCCACCCGTAAACAATTTTTGTTATTCCTTCTTAGGAAGGACGTAACGGATCTCTCTTAAATTTCATGTTTAGGTTCCCCTTGGTACATAGCTGTGCCTGGTTGATTTCATGACTGATCAAAAAAAGAAAATGGCAGACAAGAGGATTGAAGAGGAAATGACTATGATTCCAGCCGGTTCCGTTAGGGCACTACCTTACAGAAATGGCTATGATTCCTGCCGATTCTGTCAGGGCACTACCTTTCAGAAATTACTATGATTCCAGCCGCTCCTGTTATGGCACTACCTTACAGAAATGACTATGATTCCAGCCGGTTCTGTCAGGGCACTACCTTTCAGAAACTATCTTTCAGAAATGACTATGATTCCAGCCGCTCCTGTTATGGCACTACCTTACAGAAATGACTATGATTCCAGCCAGTTCTGTTATGGCACTATCTTTCAGAAATCACTATGATTCCAGCCGCTCCTGTTATGGCACTACCTTACAGAAATGACTATGATTCCAGCCGGTTCTGTCAGGGCACTACCTTTAAGAAACTATCTTTCAGAAATGACTATGATTCCTGCCGGTTCTGTCAGGGCACAACCTTTCAGAAATCACTATGATCCAGCCGGTTCTGTCAGGGCACTACCTTTCAGAAATTACTATGATTCCAGCCGGTTCTGTTAGGGCACTACCTTTCAGAAATCACTCTGATTCCAGCCGGTTCTGCCATGGCACTACCTTTCAGATATCACTATCATTCCAGCCAGTTCTGTTAGGGCACTACCTTTCAGAAATCACTATTATTCCAGCCGGTTCTGTCAGGGCACTACCTTTCAGAAATGACTGATTCCAGCCGGTCCTGTTATGGCACTACCTTTCAGAAATCACTATGATTCCAGCCGGTCCTGTTATGGCACTACCTTTCAGAAATGACTATTATTCCAGACGGTTCTAACGGGGCACTACCTTTCCAAATCACTGTGATTCCAGCCGGTTCTCTCAGGGCACTACCTTTCAGAAATGACTATGATTCCAGCCGGTCCTGTTATGGCACTACCTTTCAGAAATGACTATGATTCCAGCCGGTTCTGTAAGGGCACTACCTTTCAGAAATGACTATGATTCCAGCCGGTCCTGTTATGGCACTACCTTTCAGAAATGACTATTATTCCAGCCGGTTCTGTCAGGGCACTACCTTTCAGATATCACTATGATTCCAGCCGGTTCTGTCAGGGCTCTACCTTTCAGAAATCACTATGATTCCAGCTGCTCATGTTATGGCACTACCTTTCAGAAATGACTATTATTCCAGACGGTTCTTACGGGGCACTACCTTTCAAAATTACTATGATTCCAGCAGGTTCTGTCAGGGCACTACCTTTCAGAAACTACCTTTCAGAAATCACTATGATTCCAGCCGGTTCTGTTAGGGCACTACCTTTCAGAAACTACCTTTCAGAAATCACTATGATTCCAGCCGGTCCTGTTAGGGCACTACCTTTCAGAAATCACTATGATTCCAGCCGGTTTTGTCAGGGCACTACCTTTCAGAAATCACTATGATTCCAGCCGGTCCTGTTATCGCACTACCTTTCAGAAACTACCTTTTTGAAATGACTATGATTCCAGCTGGTTCTGTCAGGGCACAACCTTTCAGAAATCACTATGATTCCAGCCGGTCCTGTTATCGCACTACCTTTCAGAAACTACCTTTTTGAAATGACTATGATTCCAGCTGGTTCTGTCAGGGCACTACCTTTCAGAAATCACTATGATTCCAGCCGGTTCTGTCAGGGCTCTACCTTTCAGAAACTACCTTTTTGAAATCACTATGATTCCAGCTGGTTCTGTCAGGGCACAACCTTTCAGAAATCACTATCATTCCAGCCGGTTCTGTCAGGGCTCTACCTTTCAGAAACTACCTTTTTGAAATCACTATGATTCCAGCAGGTTCTGTCAGGGCACTACCTTTCAGAAACTACCTTTCAGAAATCACTATGATTCCAGCCGGTTCTGTTAGGGCACTACCTTTCAGAAACTACCTTTCAGAAATCACTATGATTCCAGCCGGTTCTGTTAGGGCACTACCTTTCAGAAACTACCTTTCAGAAATCACTATGATTCCAGCCGGTCCTGTTAGGGCACTACCTTTCAGAAATCACTATGATTCCAGCCGGTTCTGTCAGGGCACTACCTTTCAGAAATCACTATGATTCCAGCCGGTCCTGTTATCGCACTACCTTTCAGAAACTACCTTTTTGAAATGACTATGATTCCAGCTGGTTCTGTCAGGGCACTACCTTTCAGAAATCACTATGATTCCAGCCGGTTCTGTCAGGGCTCTACCTTTCAGAAATCACTATCATTCCAGCCGGTTCTGTCAGGGCTCTACCTTTCAGAAACTACCTTTTTGAAATCACTATGATTCCAGCTGGTTCTGTCAGGGCTCTACCTTTCAGAAATGACTATGATTCCAGCCGGTTCTGTCAGGGCACTACATTTTTGAAATGACTATGATTCCAGCCGGTTCTGTCAAGGCACAACCTTTCAGAAATAACTATGATTCCAGCCAGTTCTGTCAGGGCACTACCTTTCAGAAATTACTATGATTCCAGCCGGTTCTGTTAGGGCACTACCTTTCAGAAATGACTGATTCCAGCCGGTCCTGTTATGGCACTACCTTTCAGAAATCACTATGATTCCAGCCGGTCCTGTTATGGCACTACCTTTCAGAAACTACCTTTTTGAAATGACTATGATTCCAGCCGGTTCTGTCAGGGCACAACCTTTCAGAAATGACTATTATTCCAGACGGTTCTAACGGGGCACTACCTTTCCAAATCACTGTGATTCCAGCCGGTTCTCTCAGGGCACTACCTTTCAGAAATGACTATGATTCCAGCCGGTCCTGTTATGGCACTACCTTTCAGAAATGACTATGATTCCAGCCGGTTCTGTAAGGGCACTACCTTTCAGAAATGACTATGATTCCAGCCGGTCCTGTTATGGCACTTCCTTTCAGAAATGACTATGATTCCAGCCGGTTCTGTCAGGGCACTACATTTTTGAAATGACTATGATTCCAGCTGGTTCTGTCAGGGCTCTACCTTTCAGAAATCATTATGATTCCAGCTGCTCATGTTATGGCACTACCTTTCAGAAATGACTAGAAATGACTATTCTGTCAGGGCACTACCTTTCAGAAATCACTATGATTCTTCTGTCAGGGCACAACCTTTCAAAATTACTATGATTCCAGCCGGTCCTGTTATCGCACTACCTTTCAGAAACTACCTTTCAGAAATCACTATGATTCCAGCCGGTTCTGTTAGGGCACTACCTTTCAGAAACTACCTTTCAGAAATCACTATGATTCCAGCCGGTTCTGTTAGGGCACTACCTTTCAGAAACTACCTTTAAGAAATCACTATGATTCCAACTACCTTTCAGAAATCACTATGATTCCAGCCGGTTTTGTCAGGGCACTACCTTTCAGAAATCACTATGATTCCAGCCGGTCCTGTTATCGCACTACCTTTCAGAAACTACCTTTTTGAAATGACTATGATTCCAGCTGGTTCTGTCAGGGCACAACCTTTCAGAAATCACTATGATTCCAGCCGGTTCTGTCAGGGCTTTAGCTTTCAGAAACTACCTTTTTGAAATCACTATGATTCCAGCTGGCTCTGTCATGGCACTACCTTTCAGAAATGACTATGATTCCAGCCGGTTCTGTCAGGGCACTACATTTTTGAAATGACTATGATTCCAGCTGGTTCTGTCAGGGCACAACCTTTCAGAAATGACTATGATTCCAGCGGCTCCTCTTATGGCACTACCAAACAGAATTGACTATGATTCCAGCCGGTTCTGTTATGGCACTACCTTTCAGAAATCACCATGATTCCAGCCGCTCCTGTTATGGCACTACCTTACAGAATTGACTATGATTCCAGCCGGTTCTGTCAAGGCACTACCATTCAGAAATCACCATGATTCCAGCCGGTTCTGTCAAGGCACAACCTTTCAGAAATAACTATGATTCCAGCCGGTTCTGTCAGGGCACTACCTTTCAGAAATTACTATGATTCCAGCCGGTTCTGTTAGGGCACTACCTTTCAGAAATATCACTACTCCTTTCAGAAATGACTATGATTCCAGCCGGTTCTGTTAGGGCACTACCTTTCAGAAATGACTATGGCCGGTCCTGTTATGGCACTACCTTTCAGAAATCACTATGATTCCAGCCGGTTCTGTCAGGACACTACCTTTCAGAAATCACTATTATTCCAGCCGGTTCTGTCAGGGCACTACCTTTCAGAAATTATGGCACTACCTTACAGAAATGACTATGATTCCAGCCGCTCCTGTTATGGCACTACCTTACAGAAATTACTATGATTCCAGCAGGTTCTGTCAGGGCACTACCTTTCAGAAACTACCTTTCAGAAATCACTATGATTCCAGCCGGTTCTGTTAGGGCACTACCTTTCAGAAACTACCTTTCAGAAATCACTATGATTCCAGCCGGTTCTGTTAGGGCACTACCTTTCAGAAACTACCTTTCAGAAATCACTATGATTCCAGCCGGTCCTGTTAGGGCACTACCTTTCAGAAATCACTATGATTCCAGCCGGTTCTGTCAGGGCACTACCTTTCAGAAATCACTATGATTCCAGCCGGTCCTGTTATCGCACTACCTTTCAGAAACTACCTTTTTGAAATGACTATGATTCCAGCTGGTTCTGTCAGGGCACAACCTTTCAGAAATCACTATGATTCCAGCCGGTCCTGTTATCGCACTACCTTTCAGAAACTACCTTTTTGAAATGACTATGATTCCAGCTGGTTCTGTCAGGGCACTACATTTCAGAAATCACTATGATTCCAGCCGGTTCTGTCAGGGCACTACCTTTCAGAAATCACTATGATTCCAGCCGGTTCTGTCAGGGCACTACCTTTTTGAAATCACTATGATTCCAGCCGGTTCTGTCAGGGCACTACCTTTCAGAAATGACTATGATTCCAGCCGGTTCTGTCATGGCACTACCTTTCAGAAATCACTATGATTCCAGCCGGTTCTGTCAGGGCTCTACCTTTCAGAAATCACTATGATTCCAGCCGGTTCTGTCAGGGCTCTACCTTTCAGAAACTACCTTTCAGAAATCACTATGATTCCAGCCGGTTCTGTCAGGACACTACCTTTCAGAAATCACTATTATTCCAGCCGGTTCTGTC